CCAACCAGCTTACACCATGAGCGAATTACCCCCCAAGGCCCCAGAACCTGTATCTGGGCTCCCAAAGTGGGCCGGCGGAACATGTTGAAGGATGTGAAACACTTTGAGGAAAACGAATCTTAAGGCAGGGACGACGTAATGCTCCTTCTTCTTCCACTCTTGGGCCGTCTCGTTCCTTTCCGAGCAAGTACAAGAATTCGAAGTCTACCAACATGATGCGACTCTTTGCAAGTTGCCCAGAACGCGCCTTGAGATCAACCCGACGTGGATCTTCAAAATAGGCCTTGGCAAACCCATGATTACAGCACGATGCGCTGGTGAGAGGATGAGACGTCAACAAAAGCAGCTATTGAGGGTCTTACCCAGCCATGGCCAGCAGAGCAATGGAATATCCCAGATGAAGCCTCGGCACGTAGTAAGAGAAGCCATAGACAGAGAAAACTCATCATGATGTCCCATCAAACCTTCTAGATATGAAAAGGAGTAAACATCAATACTAACATTTGTAAAATCCAAGGGGACCAATCTCTGACCTGTACCCTTAATCACAATCACAGCATCTCACCTTTGAAATTTTGAATCTGGTTCCGCAATCTGATAAAGTCAGCACAACGCATTCATCCCGGCTTTGGGGAATCGACGCAACAAAAATCGCACTAAGAAAAAAGCCCTGGCAAGCAATCAGCATTTGGTGGGTGTTGTCCTGAAACCATCCAGAAACCATCCTCCATGTTCCTCCGCGATGTTCCATCAAGCTGTGGCATCTCCATCGTTCGATCAAACCAATTGTGCACCTTCTCGGCAATCAAGACTGCCAGATAAAGATCCACAATTATGCCAAGCCTTTGTGGATGGCAGGTGCCACGAACCGTTCGGCACGTAAGAGGAACAGCAAAAGACCAAAAAACAATCAGCGATCATTTGCTACGTCTTCGATCACTTTTAGTTGGTCCCTGGTATGTACATGTATAGTTCCCTTGTTCCGATCTCTGATGAAAGCATTTGTGGCATGGACTTCCATTCCGCCTTGCAAAAAGACTGGGCTTCAAACATTGCGATTAACACCAAACCTGAAGCTCATCCATGTTTCGTTGGTCCTCACATTGGTGCATGGCCCAACACGCATTTCCAAGGTCTTGACCCCCCACCGTCACCACAAACTCACGGTGGTTTGAAAGGCCTCGGGAATTCGCTGGAGGCATTGCAAGTTTTGTGACGCAAGTGTTGCCCTGCACTTGCACATCATTCTGTTCTGAGCTACTGGCCAATCACATTCTTTAGCCACTTGCCTTGCGATATCCGTAAGGAAAACAAACAATAATGAAACGTATATCTTTGGTGTGTATATATATATATACAGATACGTATGTATATGATATATGTGATGTATATGTGTGCGTAAGTATATCTAACTTGCATACAATATATCACAGTTTACATATATTATATAAAATATATTATGATATAGATATATATATATATCTAGATTGTATTTTGGACATTAGACATTGTATATCATTGTATATTTGATATTAGATAATTTATGATAATTTGGCAATCTATATGATGTCCATAAGTATCAATAATATCAGGTTCACAAAGGAGCAAGGCAAAAACCATCAGTCCCTTGCCATGAGGCACCGATTGCAACCAAGGGCACAATAGTGGTCGTAGCGCCGGATCGGGCGGGGATATTGCCATGACCTCACGGTTCCGACAAGTTCAAGGTGCATCGCTACTGAAAACCCAGAACTCCTTTCCTTCCACTCTCGGCTGAGGGCAATGCTTATATGCGCGCCGTGGCATCCCCTGACCAATAGTGACAATATATGACAATATGCAACGATTTGATGCGATTTCTGACTTCCAATTCTGCGTGAAATGTCCATGGCACCAACTTTGGTGTTGCGGGTCTTTTTGACCTGCCCGGGATCTATGAAGGCGCAGTACCTGACAGGTCAACGTAGCAATACTGTGACCATGATGCCTTCGCCCAGCTATGTTGAACCAAGGCACCCCATGCAACCCATCACAACGACGTAAAGCACTGCAAAGCTCGCAGATAGATACACCTGAAGCCAGAAAAGAAAAGCATGTGAAAAAGATGAGAAACCGTTCCATGACATGCAGCTATAATAAAGTATATAGCCTGGTCCAAGAAGGTGAATCTGGACAGCATGGGGATCTGAACCAGGAGCATACAGAGTCCCCCGATCACCTCGAGCTGCATGAATCTGCCTTTGAAGATTGAGAGTGACTACTACAGGATGCAGAAGCTCCGGTGACTGTAGCACTCATCACATTCTGAGGGCCGGGCAGTTGACACAGCGAGTGCCTCCAACCATCATGTCATTGCATCATCAACTATCAATTACCAGACACGTCTGCTGCTGAGTAGATCCCCTGGGGATCAGGCCACTGGCAACACTGGCTTGAGGTCTACCCCACAAAAGATGTAGTCCTCGCTCCGACCCCTGAGCGCCCAAGGTCACTCAATGGGAATGGACGGGAAAACACAGGGGTTCAGAAAATTCTGCACAACGTTGCACTAGACTTTCTGGAGGGCCAGGCTTGTCTTCCGCGCCACTTTTTTCATCGTCAGACTCCTTCAATGCTCTTTTGCATCAAGCAGTATCTGGTTTTACGCTCCAAGTGTCGCGAAACTGACTGGGTTATAACATGTTATAAATGGCCAGCAAGTGCAACACTTGAGATGGGTTGTCTCGGAAGTTTGGAATTCCTGGAATTGGCAGCTTTCGACGCTGTGGATGGTCACTCTCACCTGCATATCTTCCTTGTCTTCTTCGCGGGTTGGTGGCTTGCTGGTCAAGAGAGTCCTCAGAGTTCATCTTGAATACTGAAACAAAAACATCATCTCGCAAAACAGATTGAGTTCTTGCGGCCACGGTGCGGAGGTGGGAGGGGGAGGTGTGCATTCGGTCCATGGAGTCCACCCGTCAAGGGGGCAGACTCATTCCTGCAGATTCAAAGAGGTTGCTGCGTGCATGCAACATGCTGACATGCTGAGCTTCATCGTTATAAAGCTGAAAGCACCAGTCATGCAGGAAGCGGCGGCAGGCTGCATCAAATGTGTATACCTCTTGACGAATAGCAGAAGGAAAAAAACACTCTAGGAATCCAACTGTGCAAAGAGTCAGCAAACAAACTCAATTCAATCTGAACGGTGGTAAGGTCTGCACGTCGGCATAGGTCCCTCCGAGTGGGGTAGATGATATTGTCCGCTGATTTGCAGCGCTGGCTTGTAGCCTTGCATGAAAAAATCGCAGACTAAACCTCATTTGGGATCAGTTGCACCACTGTCACCTGTGCCATTTTTTTCCAAGGTGCTTCCGTAAGCACAGGCACCAGACCTGCATTGTTCGGGAAAAAAACACGCAAGTCTCACTGTGAGTTTTACTGTGTCACAGCTTGGAGCTGCAGCTGCCTCATGGAATGGTCCGCAACATAGCTCACTCCAGACATGTTCTGTGTCAGCATTGTCAGAGTCTTTCTCTGCGCTTCTTTCTAAGCCGACAGAACAAATTGCTTGAACGCGCTGTTGAGCCGGAAGCTGCTGGATTTGTTTCGTCAGCTCCAACGTTGTCACTGCTACAGCTCCAAGCATGATACAAGCACTCTGCATGCTCGGACATGATTGCTGTAGCTTCTTTCACAGCTGAAGCAAGTTGACTCTAGAAGTGTCGACGCTCATTGGCACAGGGACAGGGCGACATTAGCACCCAACTTGGGATCATAAACGGCAGGAAAACCCTGCTCACGACTATTTGGCTGAACTTCGCTTTGAGTTTTTCAGCCAAATGCAATCAATGCCTATATATTACATATATTACATATAGTATGGCTCAAATTGATCAGCGCGAATCAACACAAGAATCCTGACCCGATTGTCTTACACTAAAATGTTGGCCCCAAATTGGACTGTCTGAAAGTGGGGATACTCCAAATGGCCATGGTCATGGGAAAATGATATTATTTACATTATTTTCTTTCGGGTGGTACCCTATTTTCAGATATTTTCAGAAAAATCCAAATGATTTAAATTTAACACTGAACATGACCAGTTCTGTGGGTCAGTAGGCATCACAACTTTGAGCCGCAGACAAATACATTACAGTACGGGACATGTGAGACATGTCCAGTCCATGGAGTCATATTGAGTCCACGGAGGCACACATGGAGTTCTTCACTTGCTCAGAACTCGCCCTTGGCATCCTGGGAACCAACCCAAAGCCAAGCTTTGTTTGGACCGAAGACATTGAAGACAGCTTTGAACAACGCGAGTTTATAGAAGGCATGTGTAAGGTGCATTCCAGCACTCGCATACAGTATACACTTGTGACATACTGCAGCTTTGTGACATGCAAACATTGGCTGGGAACGCATAGCGTGGCATAGAAGTAAGCCCCTGGCAGCAGGCCAACGGGGCTGGCACCAAAAGTTCCAGCAGTTTGTGAATCTCCCGTTGTCAAAAGGGTTCCTGGCAAGCTCTGATGTGCCCATTGCGAATCAATGAGGGATGCTTCAAGTGGAAAAAACTTGACAGAGACTGGACTGTGATGCTGCTGGCAAGTCCTGGTGCGATCATACACAAAAGCATCGCGGTCGAAGATGTCGTTGTATCTGGCCAGGCCAGTCTGTGGATTTAAGTGAAGTGAATCGAAAATGCTTCACGGTCTCGACCTCTTTGCATTTCCTGATCTGTCATCCTTCAAGCTGAAATTTGGAAGGTGCAAAAACTGTTCTTTCTGCACGGGTCCGATGCAAACAAGCAATATGCCACACACTGCAATATCTCCAACAAGCAGGTGCCTAGACTAGACTCCAAAGATCTCGGAACTCCAAAATCATGGAAATGAAAAATAAAGACCTGGAAAATCACAGGAATTGTGTTTTAAGAAAGGATGACTGAAAACAAGGTCAACATGCAGGAGCTACTCGTCATCATCCAGTTCCTCCACAGGAATGTTGTCACCAATGATGGTGTTGTTGGCCTAGCAGGACCCGAAATGAACACACTTAGAAGGCAACATTATGATTGAACCAATAAAATGGTGATAATAATATATATGTGTATATACATGTATATATATATATGTGTGTGTGTATGTACATATTTATATATATACATATATATATATGCGTGTGTGTGTGTGTACGATATTTGATATGATATGTCATGCATGATGTATGATGATGTATGTATGTTGTATGATATGTGATATATGATGTATGATAATATGGGTGTGTATATATAAGTGTCAGTACATAGAAGTATTAATATTATATATAATGTATGATGATGTATTATGTATGTTGTAAGATGTTGTATGATATATGATATATGATGTATGATAATATTGGTGTGTATATATATATACAAGATGTTATAAGTGTCAGTACATATTATAAGTGTCAGTACATATAAGTATCAGTACATATAAGTATCAGTACATATAAGTATCAGTACATATATTGTACGTGTAATATGATATATGATCTATACGTATGAATATGATATAGTAATATAGTGCGAATCGAAGGGGGGGAACCTCCATCTCCTCTGAAGCTTTGCTTCATTCCTTTCTTTCTTCTTGGATGCGTGAACAAAACCGTTCTTGCCCACCGGGATGTTCATAAACCCAGAAAAGCAATTGCTGCCAAATCAATTCCTCCCGGTGCTGCTTCCTTTTTTACAAGGGTTTGAAAACGGCAAAACTCTGTAATACAAAGGTGTTTTTGCTGGTCACGGAGCTGACAGCACCCCAAATACCAGCATTTACACCGGGAGCTGCTTCAAACCGATTAGCTTCAACCAGCCAGGATTTGCACCGACTAGCTTCTGTGCATCGAGCTTTTACTAGTGAGCTTTTATACCAACAAGTTTTTCCGCCAACTATATATATGTTTACAGCAACCACCTTTTGCACCGACAATCTTCCTCGATCAACTTTTCACAAATCAGCTTTCACACCACTAGCCTTTGCACCAACTAGCTTTTGCACTAAGCAGCTTTTGCACCGACCAGCTTTCACACCAACCAGCTTACACCATGAGCGAATTACCCCCCAAGGCCCCAGAACCTGTATCTGGGCTCCCAAAGTGGGCCGGCGGAACATGTTGAAGGATGTGAAACACTTTGAGGAAAACGAATCTTAAGGCAGGGACGACGTAATGCTCATTCTTCTTCCACTCTTGGGCCGTCTCGTTCCTTTCCGAGCAAGTACAAGAATTCGAAGTCTACCAACATGATGCGACTCTTTGCAAGTTGCCCAGAACGCGCCTTGAGATCAACCCGACGTGGATCTTCAAAATAGGCCTTGGCAAACCCATGATTTACAGCATGCGCTGGTGAGAGGATGAGACGTCAACAAAAGCAGCTATTGAGGGTCTTACCCAGCCATGGGCAGCAGAGCAATGGAATATCCCAGATGAAGCCTCGGCACGTAGTAAGAGAAGCCATAGACAGAGAAAACTCATCATGATGTCCCATCAAACCTTCTAGATATGAAAAGGAGTAAACATCAATACTAACATTTGTAAAATCCAAGGGGACCAATCTCTGACCTGTACCCTTAATCACAATCACAGCATCTCACCTTTGAAATTTTGAATCTGGTTCCGCAATCTGATAAAGTCAGCACAACGCATTCATCACGGCTCTGGGGAATCGACGCAACAAAAATCGCACTAAGAAAAAAGCCCTGGCAAGCAATCAGCATTTGGTGGGTGTTGTCCTGAAACCATCCAGAAACCATCCTCCATATTCCTCTACGATGTTCCATCAAGCTGTGGCATCTCCATCGTTCGATCAAACCAATTGTGCACCTTCTCGGCAATCAAGACTGCCAGATAAAGATCCACAATTATGCCAAGCCTTTGTGGATGGCAGGTGCCACGAACCGTTCCGCACGTAAGAGGCACAGCAAAAGACCAAAAAACAATCAGCGATCACTTGCTACGTCTTCGATCACTTTTAGTTGGTCCCTGGTATGTACATGTATAGTTCCCTTGTTCAGATCTCTGATGAAAGTATTTGTGGCATGGACTTCCATTCCGCCTTGCAAAAAGACTGGGCTTCAAACATTGCGATTAACACCAAACCTGAAGCTCATCCATGTTTCGTTGGTCCTCACATTGGTCCATGGCCCAACACGCATTTCCAAGGTCTTGACCCCCCACCGTCACCACAAACTCACGGTGGTTTGAAAGGCCTCGGGAATTCGCTGGAGGCATGGCTACTTTTGTGACGCAAGTGTTGCCCTGCACTTGCACATCATTCTGTTCTGAGCTGCTGGCCAATCACATTCTTTAGCCACTTGCCTTGCGATATCAGTAAGGAAAACAAACAATAATGAAACGATATCTATGGTGTATATATATATACGTATGTATATGATGTATGTGATATATATGTGTGCGTACGTATATCTAACTTGCATATAATATATCACATTTTACATATATAATATTAATATATTATGATATATCTAGATTGTATTTTGGACATTAGACATTGTATATCATTGTATATTTGATATTAGATCATTTATGATAATTTGGCAATTGACTGTATATGATGTCCATATATGTTCATAAGTATCAATAATATCAGGTTCACCAAGGAGCCAGGCAAAAACCTTCATTCCCTTGCCATGAGGCACCGATTGCAAACAAGAGCACAATAGTGGTCGTAGCGCCGGATTGCGCAGGGATATTGCCATGACCTCGCGGTTCCGACAAGTTCAAGGTGCATCGCTACTGAAAACCCAGAACTCCTTTCCTTCCACTCTGGGGCGGCTGAGGGCAATGCTTATATGCGCGCCGTGGCATCCCCTGACCAATAGTGACAATATGCAACGATTTGATGCGATTTCTGACTTCCAATTCTGCGTGAAGGTTGGTCTGGAGCCTCCTCAATGTCCATGGCACCAACTTTGGTGTTGCGGGTCTTTTTGACCTGCCCGGGATCTATGAAGGCGCAGTACCTGACAGGTCAACGTAGCAATACTGTGACCATGATGCCTTCGCCCAGCTATGTTGAACCAAGGCACCCCATGCAACCCATCACAACGACATAAAGCACTGCAAAGCTCGCAGATAGATACACCTGAAGCCAGAAAAGAAAAGCATGTGAAAAAGATGAGAAACCGTTCCATGACATGCAGCTATAATAAAGTATATAGCCTGGTCCAAGAAGGTGAATCTGGACAGCATGGGGATCTGAACCAGGAGCATACAGAGTCCCCCGATCACCTCGAGCTGCATGAATCTGCCTTTGAAGATTGAGAGTGACTACTACAGGATGCAGAAGCTCCGGTGACTGTAGCACTCATCACATTCTGAGGGCCGGGCAGTTGACACAGCGAGTGCCTCCAGCCATCATGTCATTGCATCATCAACTATCAATTACCAGACACGTCTGCTTCTGAGTAGATCCCCTGGGGATCAGGCCACTGGCAACACTGGCTGGAGGTCTACCCCACAAAAGATGTAGTCCTCGCTCCGACCCCTGAGCGCCCAAGGTCACTCAATGGGAATGGACGGGAAAACACAGGGGTTCAGAAAATTCTGCACAACGTTGCACTAGACTTTCTGGAGGGCCAGGCTTGTCTTCCGCGCCACTTTTTTCATCGTCAGACTCCTTCAACGCTCTTTTGCATCAAGCAGTATCTGGTTTTACGCTCCAAGTGTCGCGAAACTGACTGGGTTATAACATGTTATAAATGGCCAGCAAGTGCAACACTTGAGACACCCAGTGGACTGCTGACAGGAATTCCAAACTTCCGAGACAACCCGCGAAGTTTCACCTGGTGAAACTTTGCGGGTTGTCTCGGAAGTTTGGAATTCCTGGAATTGGCAGCTTTCGACGCTGAGGATGGTCACTCGCACCTGCACACCTTCCTTGTCTTCTTCGCGCCGGGTTGGTGGCTTGCTGCTGGTCAAGAGAGTCCTCAGAGTTCATCTTGAATACTGAAACAAAAACATCATCTCGCAAAACCGATTGAGTTCTTGCGTCCAAGGTGCGGAGGTGGGAGGGGGAGGTGTGCATTCGGTCCATGGAGTCCACCCGTCAAGGGGGCAGACTCATTCCTGCAGATTCAAAGAGGTTGCTGCGTGCATGCAACATGCTGACATGCTGAGCTTCATCGTTTTAAAGTTGACAGCACCAGTCATGCAGGGAGCGGCGGCAGGCTGCATCAAATGCGTATACCTCTTGACAAATAGCAGAAGGAAAAGACCACTCTAGGAATCCAACTGTTCAAAGAGTCAGCAAACTCAATTCAATCTGAATGGTGGTAAGGTCTGCACGTTGGCATAGGTCCCCCTGAGTGTGGTAACTGGTACGAGTATTGTCCGATTTGCAGCGCTGGCTTGTAGCCTTGAATGAAAAAATCACAGACTAAACCTCATATGGGATCAGTCGCACCACTTTCACCTGTGCCAAATTCTTTCCAAGGCGCTTCCGTAAGCGCAGGCAGCAGACCTGCATTGTTCGGGAAAAAATGAAGCAAGTCTCACTGTGAGTCTCACTGTGAGTCTCACTGTGAGGCTCACTGTGTCACAGCTTGGAGCTGCAGCTGCCTCATGGAATGGTCCGCAACATAGCTCACTCCAGACATGTTCTGTGTCAGCATTGTCAGAGTCTTTCTTTCTCTGGGCTTCTTTTTCAGCCGACAGAACAAATTGCTTGAACGCGCTGTTGAGCCGGAAGCTGCTGGATTTGTTTCGTCAGCTCCAACGTCGTCACTGCTACAGCTCCAAGCATGATACAAGCACTCTGCATGCTCGGACATGATTGCTGTAGCTTCTTTCACAGCTGAAGCAAGTTGACTCTAGAAGTGTCGACGCTCATTGGCACAGGGACAGGGCGACATTAGCACCCAACTTGGGATCATTAACGGCAGGAAAACCCTGCTCACGACTATTTGGCTGAACTTCGCTTTGAGTTTTTCAGCCAAATGCAATCAATGCCTATATATTACATATATTACATATAGTATGGCTCAAATTGATCAGCGCTCAACGAATCAACACAAGAATCCTGACCCAATTGTCTTACACTAAAATGTTGGCCCCAAATTGGACTGTCTGAAAGTGGGGATACTCCAAATGGCCATGGTCATGGGAAAATGATATTATTTACAGTATGTTCTTTCGGGTGGTACCCTATTTTCAGATATTTTCAGAAAAAAACAAATGATTTAAATTTAACACTGAACATGACCAGTTCTGTGGGTCAGTAGGCATCACAACTTTGAGCCGCAGACAAATACATTACAGTACGGGACATGTGAGACATGTCCAGTCCATGGAGTCATATTGAGTCCACGGAGGCACACATGGAGTTCTTCACTTGCTCAGAACTCGCCCTTGGCATCCTGGGAACCAACCCAAAGCCAAGCTTTGTTTGGACCGAAGACATTGAAGACAGCTTTGAACAACGCGAGTTTATAGAAGGCATGTGTAAGGTGCATTCCAGCACTCGCATACAGTATACACTTGTGACATACTGCAGCTTTGTGACATGCAAACATTGGCTGGGAACGCATAGCGTGGCATAGAAGTAAGCCCCTGGCAGCAGGCCAACGGGGCTGGCACCAAAAGTTCCAGCAGTTTGTGAATCTCCCGTTGTCAAAAGGGTTCCTGGCAAGCTCTGATGTGCCCATTGCGAATCAATGAGGGATGCTTCAAGTGGAAAAAACTTGACAGAGACTGGACTGTGATGCTGCTGTCAAGTCCTGGTGCGATCATACACAAAAGCATCGCGGTCAAAGATCACTTAAATCCACAGACTGGCCTGGCCGAGTACAACGACATCTTCGACTGAGTCAAAGATCTCGTTGTACCTGGCCAGGCCAGTCTGTGGATTCGAGTGAAGTGAATCAAAAATGCTTCACGGTCTCGACCTCTTTGCATTTCCTGATCTGTCATCCTTCAAGCCGAAATTTGGAAGGTGCAAAAACTGTTCTTTCTGCACGGGTCCGATGCAAACAAGCAATATGCCACACACTGCAATATCTCCAAAAAGCAGGTGCCTAGACTCCAAAGATCTCGGAACTCCAAAATCATGGAAATGAAAGAAAAAAAAACTGGAAAATCACAGGAATAGTGTTTTAAGAAAGGATGACAGAAAACAAGGTCAACATGCAGGAGCTACTCGTCATCATCCAGTTCCTCCACAGGAATGTTGTCACCAATGGTGGTGTTGTTGGCCTAGCAGGACCCGAAATGAACACACTTAGAAGGCAACAATATGATTGAACCAATAAAATGGTATATATATATATGTATATATATATATATGTATGTATATACATGTGTATATATATATGTATATATATATATATGCGTGTGTGTGTGTACGATATTTGATATGATATGTCATGCATGATGTATGATGATGTATTATGTATGGTGTATGATATGTGATAAATGATGTATGATAATATAGGTGTGTATATATAAGTGTCAGTACATATAAATATTAATATTATATATAATGTATGATGTTGTATTATGTATGTTGTATGATGTTGTATGATATATGATATATGATGTGTGATAATATGGGTGTGTATATATAAGTGTCAGTACATATAAGTATCAGTACATATAAGTATCAGTACATATATTGTACGTGTAATATGATATATGATCTATACGTATGAATATGATATAGTAATATAGTGCGAATCGAAGGGGGGAAACCTCCATCTCCTCTCAAGCTTTGCTTCATTCCTTTCTTCCTTCTTGGATGCGTGAACAAAACCGTTCTTGCCCACCGGGATGTTCATAAACCCAGAAAAGCAATTGCTGCCAAATCAATTCCTCCCGGTGCTGCTTCCTTTTTTACAAGGGTTTGAAAACGGCAAAACTCTGTAATACAAAGGTGTTTTTGCTGGTCACGGAGCTGACAGCACCCCAAATACCAGCATTTACACCGGGAGCTGCTTCAAACCGAGTAGCTTCAACCAGCCAGGATTTGCACCGACTAGCTTCTGTACATTGAGCTTTTACTAGTGAGCTTTTATACCAACAAGCTTTTCCGCCAACTATATGACTTTTACAGCAACCACCTTTTGCACCGACAATCTTCCTCGATCAACTTTTCACAAATCAGCTTTCACACCACTAGCCTTTGCACCAACTAGCTTTTGCACTAAGCAGCTTTTGCACCGACCAGCTTTCACACCAACCAGCTTACACCATGAGCGAATTACCCCCCAAGGCCCCAGAACCTGTATCTGGGCTCCCAAAGTGGGCCGGCGGAACATGTTGAAGGATGTGAAACACTTTGAGGAAAACGAATCTTAAGGCAGGGACGACGTAATGCTCCTTCTTCTTCCACTCTTGGGCCGTCTCGTTCCTTTCCGAGCAAGTACAAGAATTCGAAGTCTACCAACATGATGCGACTCTTTGCAAGTTGCCCAGAACGCGCCTTGAGATCAACCCGACGTGGATCTTCAAAATAGGCCTTGGCAAACCCATGATTTACAGCTCGATGCGCTGGTGAGAGGATGAGACGTCAACAAAAGCAGCTATTGAGGGTCTTACCCAGCCATGGCCAGCAGAGCAATGGAATATCCCAGATGAAGCCTCGGCACGTAGTAAGAGAAGCCATAGACAGAGAAAACTCATCATGATGTCCCATCAAACCTTCTAGATATGAAAAGGAGTAAACATCAATACTAACATTTGTAAAATCCAAGGGGACCAATCTCTGACCTGTACCCTTAATCACAATCACAGCATCTCACCTTTGAAATTTTGAATCTGGTTCCGCAATCTGATAAAGTCAGCACAACGCATTCATCACGGCTCTGGGGAATCGACGCAACAAAAAACGCACAAAGAAAAAAGCCCTGGCAAGCAATCAGCATTTGGTGGGTGTTGTCCTGAAACCATCCAGAAACCATCCTCCATATTCCTCCACGATGTTCCATCAAGCTGTGGCATCTCCATCGTTCGATCAAACCAATTGTGCACCTTCTCGGCAATCAAGACTGCCAGATAAAGATCCACAATTATGCCAAGCCTTTGTGGATGGCAGGTGCCACGAACCGTTCCGCACGTAAGAGGCACAGCAAAAGACCAAAAAACAATCAGCGATCACTTGCTACGTCTTCGATCACTTTTAGTTGGTCCCTGGTATGTACATGTATAGTTCCCTTGTTCAGATCTCTGATGAAAGTATTTGTGGCATGGAATTCCATTCCGCCTTGCAAAAAGACTGGGCTTCAAACATTGCGATTAACACCAAACCTGAAGCTCATCCATGTTTCGTTGGTCCTCACATTGGTCCATGGCCCAACACGCATTTCCAAGGTCTTGACCCCCCACCGTCACCACAAACTCACGGTGGTTTGAAAGGCCTCGGGAATTCGCTGGAGGCATGGCTAGTTTTGTGACGCAAGTGTTGCCCTGCACTTGCACATCATTCTGTTCTGAGCTGCTGGCCAATCACATTCTTTAGCCACTTGCCTTGCGATATCAGTAAGGAAAACAAACAATAAAGAAACGATATCTATGGTGTGTATATATATATATACGTATCTATATGATGCATGTGATATATATGTGTGCGTACGTATATCTAACTTGCATATAATATATCACATTTTACATATATTATATTAATATATTATGTCTCACACTAGTGCTTGCTGAACGCACTGTGGATCAAATTGCAAAGGCTGATGCAAAGGGCAGTCGCGCGACATTTTCACAGCATTGCAACATGGCTCAAATGGCCGTCTGCGGATGAAAAGGAAAACGGGCGTGGGGCATTTCGAGCCCGGGCCACGTAGTCGAACACCTCAGGACACCGCAAATGAAGATTGAGGTTGCGCATGTTGAATCTTCACACTGGTCTTTGTTTGAGGTGTTGCTTTCTGCGTGGATCCACTGTGCTTGCTGGTCTTCACCTTGGAGCCCTGCGCGTCTTCATCTCGAAGTTGGCACCATGGATTCATACACCAGCGGGTAAGGATCTCTCGCAGTTTTGCATCGATCTTGGTGAGGCCATCCGCATGCATAAGGTGCGTTGGAATCCAGTGCACTTGCTTTGGAGACATAGCTTGCTGCACTGAGCGGATTGACACCATCGATCGCTTCTCAGAAGTGCTTGGGTTTTCGGCTACTAGGCAGTCATACAGGCTTTTGGCATCAGTTGCTTGTTTCATCGGCATTTCCATTCTGGCCTTCTGTGCAGGAATGCCGAAAAACAACTCCGTCAGGTAGTAGTTGATGAAGCATGCCCTGTCAGCAGCTTCGTCTGCTGCATGAGCCTCTGCTGCCAGAGTGCTGCGAGCAACGCGTTGCATGCGTCCGCTCTTCCAGTCAACCAAAAAACCAAAGCATGTCGTCTCTGAGACTTGTGCCGGACATAGCACAATTGCAACGCCATACTGCGAAGTGAAGTTTGCAGCATTGCACCAGCTGGAATCCCCATAGGCCAGGATCGTTGTGGTGCGATTCAAAGGCATTGCAGGCATTCGAATGCCACAATCACTTGTCGCTTTGGCGTAGTCTACGGCCTCGTAGACCTTCTGCAAGTCGCTGATCTCGGTGTTGGAACCTCTGTGAGCCAGCGAAGCCACAGCTGCTAAATCTGGCCTTGTTTGGCCACTCAACCACTGAAGACTTCCGACAACTGATCTGAATTCGGCCATCTCCTTGTCATTCAGCTTGCCGCCTTCTTTGACGCGGGCAGATGGCACTTTTCCAGAGTCCATGGCCTTGATGAACTTGGTCTGGGTCACCACATAGCTGTAGCGGCCATTGGAATCCTTGGTCATTTGGATTTCTTTGCCGCGATATTCACCTGGTGTTTGCTCGGTGACCAGAGTTGTAGATCCTCATTTGAACATATTCTCAAGGATCTTCAGGTCAAAGGTCTCGGTGTTGAAGACAGCCATGAAGTCATCGACATGTACGATGAGCAGGCAGGAAAGGTTGCCATCTACATCCAAAAAGTAGTAGCAGCAGCGGTCAAGGCTGTGTCTATGAAACCTGCCTTTGATCAGGTCTCTGTCAACCTTCTTGTACCAGGTGCGAGGTGCATTACTCAGTCCATAGCAATTGCCTGTGATCTCATAGAGGCTTGCAGGATACGCTTGTGCAGCGTTCAGGATGTCATCTCGGGGGCTCTGCATGTAGATTGGGCCGTCTCGTTCTGTGTCATCCTGGGAACCCTGCAAAAAGGCTTTCTCGGCATCTGACAACCACATAGACCATCGGCTTGTAGAGTTGCCGAATTCACCGTTGGCGCCTGCTGTTGCCACGGCTAGTAGCACAAATTCAGACACTCTTGATGGCGTAGGGCTGTCTCGGCTCAGCTGTCGCAGGTCTGGATCTGAGCATCCAATGATGACCACTCGGGTCTTTGGCTTCAGTGGTGGAACTCCGCGGTTTTTGTCGCGGTAAGCTGCACGTGATTTCATCACCCGACGTCGAAGTCTGGGGTCTGACATCACCTGTTGTTCTTCTGCTTTGCTCAGCGGTCGGATGCCGCCCCATGCTAACCAACCAGCATATTCACTTGCAGCACTGTCGACATACTTCTGGAAAGTGTCGGGATCTGATCCGGCAATTTCGCGCCAAGGGATCTCCCGGTCCAACTGCTTCAACTCTTGGCGAGACATTCCGCGCTGGTTTGACAGCACGAGCTCATCGTCAGAGGAATCGTGGTCAGGCTGGCTTGGATTTGACATGCCATTCATCTCGACGGCTCTGTGGTCACTCACAAGGTAAGCCTGATAGAAGTTGTCGGCACGTGGATGTGGGAAATCTAAGTTGCATCCGCCATCCCAATAGGGCCGCATCAGTTCAAGGTCTTTGTTATCGCACTGGAAGAGGTTGGTGAGCATGGCATCAGCTGGTCTCTTCATTGGGAGTATAGGCAATTCTTCGGCGATTGCTGTTGGTTCTGCTTCAATTTCAGGCAGTTGGCTTGGTTGAGAAGGTTGAGCTGCTTCTGCTGGTCTTTGTTTTGCCAGTGAAGTCTCTTCGGCAGGAGGTACTCTGCTTGGCGTTCTTGATCTGGGTCGATTTCTTGGTGTTGGTGCAACTGACCCAAATTCTGATCTTCCTCCATACCTGGCGTATGTAGGTGAATCAACCCTCACGTTGATGGTGCGCTGGTCAATGTAGGTGTTGGTTTGCTGTTGCTGTTGCGATAGGTGTGTAGGTAGTTGTGGTGGTGCTTCGCCATCACGTGGTGATTGGAGACCTGCTTGCTCTTGTTGTTGCACTGGAGAAGGTTGAGCAAGCGACCCGGGGATCGTAGCCAAGTCCAGGGGCTGTCGATCCGGGGGCATGCTAGAAAGTCCATCGGCATATTGGTCTCGTTGAAGGTTCTGCTCCGGTGGTTGTTGTTGCTCACCGGAGAGCTCTGGCAATCGGTTGGCACGTTCTTGGATGGGTCTGAAGTTGAAAATCTCCTCATCAGCAATAGCCATATCTTCATCTTGAGGAGGTTCGCCTTGCTGATCATCCCAAAGTCCATGTGAGATGTTGGTTTCAGCATCACGGAGGAGTTTGATATCATCTTCAGAAGGAGTCCAAGTCTCCCATCCAACTGCTACTCGAACTTGACCAAGGCCAATGCGAGTTGATGTCTTGCCAACCTGTACCCAGCAGGAACGTTTGTCAGGGTCGAAAGCCAAAAATCGACCGAGCGACCAACTGCCGCGCTTGTGTTGTCGAGCTCGTCCTTGCCATCTCCAAAAGGCTATTGTCTGGCCAGGTCGAAGGTGGCTGAGCTCTTGCTGATTGCGTGTCTTCCTCAACAGGCCTCTTCGCACTGATTGAGAGGCAGTGATTTGCATCAGAGCTGTCGTGGCCTCAGCTCGCAGCAGTTCTGGTCGAAGTTGGTGGGCAGTCTGGTCGTGTGTGATCACCAGCGACTTTTCATCTGACAAAAGATCCCCAAGAGGTCGAGGGATCCGGCCAAAAACGCTCTGGAATGGTGAGCGGCCGTGGCTGTATGTTGAGCAGTTCAATGAAAAAGTCGCTGCAATGATTGCTGAATCCAAAGCTTCCTTGGAGGTGATGGAATGGTGGTCCACGAGTCGTTCGACCAGGCTTCTCATGAGAGTGTTGCGTCTCTCCACCTTGCCAATTCGCCAGTGCTCTTCTGCTGGAATCACTTCATACTCAATGCCGTGGCGTTGATGCCATTCTTCGCATTCTCCCAGGTAGGCTGTGTCAGGGTCGACAGTGACATGGTGTGGAAGCCCAAGAGGGTGGTACCAAAGTTGTTGCATCATCTTCAAAACAGTGGCTGGGCTTCGGTCTTCCAAGGTGTGTGCCACTGTATAGTTTGTGAACTCGTCCACCATGCCAATCACTATGTTGTTGTCATTGAGAGTGCGAATGTAGACAATGTCAGATTGAATGCGATCTCCAAACTGGCCTGCTGCTATGGCTGTTGTTGAGGAAACTGGTGGCTTCTTTGGAACTGTCAAACGAAGGCAGCTTCCGCATCGCAAGCATTCGATGCCCGTCAACACCCTTGAGGACAAAGTGTTTCAGGCTGCCAAGATGCGAATCAGCTCCTCCTTCGGCGGGTGGCCCATGTTGGTGTGAAGTCGTGCCAATGACTTCTGCAGCTCTTTGTTGAGAGTGGCACCGGCACCTTCAAACCAGATGTCGGTGGTGATGCCTGGAACCCGTTGTTGAGCTTGAGCATCAGTTTCTGGAACTTCTGGTGGTGGAGGTGGCTCTTCATCATCATCTTGTGGGGCCGTTCCAAAGAAGTATATCCCAAGTCGCATGGGATCAGTGTACCTCTGCTTGGGGTAGACGACCTGTGAGAGATCTTCATGCTCGATCAAGATTTTCCCATTGGCCAGTCTGAGCACAGCGCCACGGTGAGTGTAGGCAAACTCAGTGGGAAACCTTCTGACTGATGGTGTCCACGTGACCTGAACTCGCTCAAGTTGCCAAGGGATGAGGTTCTCGATGTCTTTGTAGATTGGGTCACTGGCTGCGATGTTGTAAGGCCTTTTGCTGGTGTTTCCAAAGCGCCGCTCCAGCTCATCCAAAATTGGTGACCAAAGCTGCTCATCATTGGAGGGGTGCGCATAGAACACCTTGTTGGCTCTTGCAAAACGTGCTGGGTCTCTGATGCGAGCTTCCTTCTGAAGTCCACGAAGGATTGCATCGACCAGTCCATCGCAATAGTGGCCACTTGGTTCTGTCTCAGCGCCTTCAATTGGCTTTGCGTACATCTTCTGCTCAGGAGTCATTCTCCTTGAGAGTTCTGAGGCAATCGCTGGAGAATTTGTGGTCCAGCGGTGAGTCTTCACAATGGGGTACCCTTGTGAATCTTCAGCGCCATATGCTCCGGCATCGCATTGGGTCATCAGGTTGCCTGGCAATTCAGCAACGGACTCCACTGAAGGTTGAACCCAAATGCGAGAGCGTTGCACATTTTCGCCCAGGTAAAGGCGTCCTTGCTGATGTTGGTGATGCATGAGGTCGGATCCTAAATCAACAAGGACCCGCTCGTCGTTGCGTAGTTCTTCAAGTTCCTGTAACCTGTGGCTGTAATTCATGTTCTCGTTGAACAATGACCAGTAGCGGCAGGGCCAGGCAACGTGAATCAGAAGTGGCTGAAACTTCATGACCACTTGCCAAAGGAACTTGCGGCCCTCTTCGGTTTTCAAGTCCACGTTGATGGTCTTGTCCATGGGCTCGAGAGCGTTCAGGTTGAACTTGGGAGCACGGAATGTCAGGTTGGCCGAACCTGCAAACACTTCTAAAAGGTCAATCTTGGGGCCAGTTGCCATTTTCTCCGCATAGGAGAGCAGGGCCTCATAGGTCTTTGTCTCAAAGTCGTAGATCTTGGCCGTGCTCCGGAGATGGCCTGTCAGCCAGGTTTGATTGCCTTTCTTCAACCTATTTGTTCCCATTCGTACTCTGGGCTCTCCACCTCCTCCACTTCCTCGGTTGGAGTTGATCTCTTCTTGCTTGAATTCTTTGGTCTGGCTCCTCGTGGCTGTCTTGTCGCCGTTGACAAAGGTGTTGCTGTGCCCTGCGACGTTGTTTCTGCCGACGACTTCGAGCCAGTCAAGGCCTTCGGACCAGGTGGTCCCGGAGGTGGTGGTGCCGTGGAAGAAGTTGCCATCAGTGCCCAAGCTGGGCGTCGAGCTTTGTCCAGGAAGTTCGAGGCTGTTGAAGATGAAGGCAATGGCAGTGGCTGCCGCTTGGAGGATACCAGGTCTGTCCATCGATCTTCGTCTTCGGACCACTTCCACTTTTTCTCGCACATCAGGCACTTGGCGAAGCTTCCGCTTCGATTCCCATAGCGGTGCATCTTCTCGTGAGCACATGGTTTGGTGGCTTTGTTCAGCAGGGCCTCTTGGAGTTCCATGTCCAACGGGTCTTGGTGTTGGATCCATCTTCGAGGTCGTAGGCCCAGCCGCACTGCTTGCACCATCATGGTGGCCATCCACATCTCGACATGTCGGAATCGGCGAACCATCATTCGCCAGTTCTGCAGCCATGCTGGTGGTGGTCCCTTGTTCATGGGAATCACGGTGTCGTGAATCGAATTGATCGCTTGAGCCTTCTGCAGAGAAATAGAGGAGTTCAGGATCATGGTCAGGTTGCAAACACATCTCATGGTATTGTCTCCACATCTGCGAACTGCTGGCCATCTTCGGAAACTTTGAAATATCCAGTGCTAAGTGGCCTGCAATCTGACAGATGGGCACGGTGGTGTTGAGCAACCCGATGAAGGCTTCCTGGCATGGCAAGTTCAACACCATCTTCAACTTGTTGGTCATGAGATCGCTGCTGGCGAGGAAGGGAATATTGTTAGTAGTTGAAATAACACTTGCACCAATCAGCATCATGTTCTTCTCAACCTCATCAAAACAAACTGGTATTTGAACATGTTCATGACTGTATTGCGTGGGTCCATGTCCAAATTCAAAAGGCTCTCTGTTGGGGATGGTGCGCGCTCGAGGCTTGAACTCGGCTAGTGAAGCTTTCTTACCATCCAACCATGCAGTGCTGCAACATGATTTCTGGCATGCTGTATCCAAAACCATCACTTTGGTGAACTTGGGGTTGAAATTGCCAAAAACTTGATGGGTGTCGGCGATGTGATGTGTGACCATGTATGTGAAAAACGTGCCATAGATCTTTTCGGTGTCATCTTTGGGTTCATCCTCAAAAGTGACTAATCGCCGGCTTCCATCCCCATGCTGCACATGCAAAACCTTTTTCGCAGGAGGCTTGTTCTGAGAGGAGGATCCAGCTGACGTTTTGCCATAGGTTTTGCCTCGGCTGTAATCGTTGCCCTTGGAGTCGGCAGTGGCGCTACATTCTGGGTCACCTTTCCAATGACCTTTTTCGCCGCACACTGAACAGTGCGACTCTTGCTTGCGCTGCTTGATTGTTTTGCCGCCGGTAAACTTGCGGCCCAATGTCAAGCCTTGCAATCTGCGGGCAGTCACAGTCAGGCAATTGGCTGCTTCTTGAAGCTCATGGAAGACATCGCCATCTTGGCCGTCTTCATCATCGTCAGCTGCTTGTTGATATTCAGGATCATCTTGTCCTTCGGCTGCATCTTCATCATTTTCATTGGGCTCATCATTGGCTGCAGGGTCATCCTGCGTGTCATCCTTGGCATCATCGGCGTTTTCGCCGGTCTCAGCAACGTAGGTCTTTTTGACAAAGGCAGAGTTCTGGTTGGGCTTGCCCTTCTGTTGGCCTTTGCCTTGTTGGGCAGGAGGTCGGTAGTTGCTGTTGGGCTTATTCGAATCTCGTGGCTGTTGTGGCTTGTCCTCCTTGTCAAAGTCTCTAGTGTAGACCACTGGAGGCGTAGGACGATGGTCAGGAAACTGAATCTCGGCAGCGTCCTTGACATCCTGATATCTCAAAGACTGAGATGTTGCCACCAAGATCATTCGCTGGGCATCAATGCCAAGTCGAAGTCTATCCAGCAAACGAGATCCTGCAGCCTCAGTGTCATACATGTGGCTCGTGTCAACACCGACACTCTGCAGTGAACGCTCAACACGGTGATACCTGTTGCAAAAGCTTTTCACGGATTCACCATGGCGTCGTTGCAAACGCTCAAACTCATCCAGGAACTTGCGCTTCAAGTAGATACCTTTGACCATCAATGGAGCTCTCAAAGTCTCAAGGATATAGTCCACACCGTCCTCAGAGTCGATGCGGTCCAAGCTTGCATGTTCAAGCTCTTCTTCGGCTTCTCCTTTCAGACTAACATAGAGCATCATTGCAGCTTCGTTTGGAGGAAGGTATGAGGCAATCTATCGCCTCCAAACGATCAACTTGCGTTCCCAGCGCTGAAATGCTTGGAGATCTCCTTTGTTGTATGTCCATTGCGGTGGTGCAGGAGGTGTGCCACCGCGGTATTTCAAGCCAGGTGCTGGCCCCTTTCGAATGGACCAGGGCTTCTCCTCAGCATTCTTCGCAGTCATGCTATGTAGATCCCGCAGCATTGCATCTCGCCATCCAGCATGCTTTGAACTTGCATCACTTCCAGTGCCGCCATAGCCTTTGCCCTTGCCCGGGCCACCTTTGGAGTTCAAAAGTTCGCGAGCAGGTGAGGCGGTCAAAGCAGGTTCCTTAGGAAAGCCAGTTGAGTGATGAGGAACTGTGAAACTATCGCATACTTTAGGATCTTGGAATACTTTGGGATCTTGATGAGCTTTAGGGTCAAGAGGCACTTTGGGAACTCGTAGAACGTTGTGACCTCGTGCAACTTTAGGATTGCCAGGATTGCGACGCTTCAAGGCTCTACGCTGACGTCTCGACATATTCATTGGAGACAAGGTGACTGGTTCGACCGAAGGGTCTGTTGTCACTGTCTCGGACTCAGCATAGGCTTCCTGCAGCGAGGCATCGTCTGGATCATCATGGTTTCTACGGCTGCCAGCATTGCTAGGTGGGGCATTTGGCACAAACATCCAACTGCCCGTTCTCGTAGCGAAGGTTGTGGAGGTGAAGGCATCATAGAAGGTATCATTGCCACATCGCATGCATGTCCATCCATGACCAGGGCTAACTCTCCAGTCCGCACTGTCACACGCTCGACACAACCATAGGTTTTCATCTTCTCCATCAACAGCTCGGGCCAGTGAGGGAACGTCCGAGCTATCATCATAGTTATCATCATACTCAAACACATGGTTGCTTGCATGGGTGTCACTCTGATTGGTTCGAACTGCAGTGGAGGTTGAAGGAGCATGTCCATTGGAAGACAGCGTAGGTGACCATCCATTAGCTTCGAACTCGGAGGCAGCGTCCATGCGAAACCAGTAGCGAAGCACGGCGGCTCCGGTATACCAACTCACACTAGTGCTTGCTGAACGCACTGTGGATCAAATTGCAAAGGCTGATGCAAAGGGCAGTCGCGCGACATTTTCACAGCATTGCAACATGGCTCAAATGGCCGTCTGCGGATGAAAAGGAAAACGGGCGTGGGGCATTTCGAGCCCGGGCCACGTAGTCGAACACCTCAGGACACCGCAAATGAAGATTGAGGTTGCGCATGTTGAATCTTCACATTATGATATATATATATATATATATATCTAGATTGTATTTTGGACATTAGACATTATATATCATTGTATATTTGATATTAGATAATTTATGATAATTTGGCAATTTATATGATGTCCACATATGTCCATAAGTATCAATAATATCAGGTTCACAAAGGAGCAAGGCAAAAACCATCAGTCCCTTGCCATGAGGCATCGATTGCAACCAAGGGCACAATAGTGGTCGTAGCGCCGGATCGGGCGGGGATATTGCCATGACCTCACGCTTCCGACAAGTTCAAGGTGCATCGCTACTGAAAACCCAGAACTCCTTTCCTTCCACTCTCGGCTGAGGGCAATGCTTATATGCGCGCCGTGGCATCCCCTGACCAATAGTGACAATATATGACAATATGCAACGATTTGATGCGATTTCTGACTTCCAATTCTGGCCTTCTCAATGTCCATGGCACCAACTTTGGTGTTGCGGGTCTTTTTGACCTGCCCGGGATCTATGAAGGCGCAGTACCTGACAGGTCAACGTAGCAATACTGTGACCATGATGCCTTCGCCCAGCTATGTTGAACCAAGGCACCCCATGCAACCCATCACAACGACGTAAAGCACTGCAAAGCTCGCAGATAGATACACCTGAAGCCAGAAAAGAAAAGCATGTGAAAAAGATGAGAAACCGTTCCATGACATGCAGCTATAATAAAGTATATAGCCTGGTCCAAGAAGGTGAATCTGGACAGCATGGGGATCTGAACCAGGAGCATACAGAGTCCCCCGATCACCTCGAGCTGCATGAATCTGCCTTTGAAGATTGAGAGTGACTACTAGAGGATGCAGAAGCTCCGGTGACTGTAGCACTCATCACATTCTGAGGGCCGGGCAGTTGACACAGCGAGTGCCTCCAGCCATCATGTCATTGCATCATCAACTATCAATTACCAGACACGTCTGCTGCTGAGTAGATCCCCTGGGGATCAGGCCACTGGCAACACTGGCTTGAGGTCTACCCCACAAAAGGTGTAGTCCTCGCTCCGACCCCTGAGCGCCCAAGGTCACTCAATGGGAATGGACGGGAAAACACAGGGGTTCAGAAAATTCTGCACAACGTTGCACTAGACTTTCTGGAGGGCCAGGCTTGTCTTCCGCGCCATTTTTTCATCGTCAGACTCCTTCAATGCTCTTTTGCATCAAGCAGTATCTGGTTTTACGCTCCAAGTGTCGCGAAACTGACTGGGTTATAACATGTTATAAATGGCCAGCAAGTGCAACACTTGAGATGGGTTGTCTCGGAAGTTGGGAATTCCTGGAATTGGCAGCTTTCGACGCTGTGGATGGTCACTCTCACCTGCATATCTTCCTTGTCTTCTTCGCGGGTTGGTGGCTTGCTGGTCAAGAGAGTCCTCAGAGTTCATCTTGAATACTGAAACAAAAACATCATCTCGCAAAACCGATTGAGTTCTTGCGTCCAAGGTGCGGAGGTGGGAGGGGGAGGTGTGCATTCGGTCCATGGAGTCCACCCGTCAAGGGGGCAGACTCATTCCTGCAGATTCAAAGAGGTTGCTGCGTGCATGCAACATGCTGACATGCTGAGCTTCATCGTTTTAAAGTTGACAGCACCAGTCATGCAGGGAGCGGCGGCAGGCTGCATCAAATGCGTATACCTCTTGACAAATAGCAGAAGGAAAAGACCACTCTAGGAATCCAACTGTTCAAAGAGTCAGCAAACTCAATTCAATCTGAATGGTGGTAAGGTCTGCACATTGGCATAGGTCCCCCTGAGTGTGGTAACTGGTACGAGTATTGTCCGATTTGCAGCGCTGGCTTGTAGCCTTGAATGAAAAAATCACAGACTAAACCTCATTTGGGATCAGTCGCACCACTTTCACCTGTGCCAAATTCTTTCCAAGGCGCTTCCGTAAGCGCAGGCAGCAGACCTGCATTGTTCAGGAAAAATGAAGCAAGTCTCACTGTGAGTCTCACTGTGAGTCTCACTGTGAGTCTCACTGTGAGTCTCACTGTGAGTCTCACTGTCACAGCTTGGAGCTGCAGCTGCCTCATGGAATGGTCCGCAACATAGCTCACTCCAGACACTTTCTGTGTCAGCATGGTGCCAGAGTCTTTCTATGGGCTCTTACAGTACCAGACAGAACACAAATTTCTGGAACACGCTGTTGAGCCGGAAGCTGCTGGATTTGTTTCGTCAGCTCCAACGTTGTCACTGCTACAACTCCAAGCATGATACAAGCACTCTGCATGCTCGGACATGATTGCTGTAGCTTCTTTCACAGCTGAAGCAAGTTGACTCTAGAAGTGTCGACGCTCATTGGCACAGGGACAGGGCGACATTAGCACCCAACTTGGGATCATTAACGGCAGGAAAACCCTGCTCACGACTATTTGGCTGAACTTCGCTTTGAGTTTTTCAGCCAAATGCAATCAATGCCTATATATTACATATATTACATATAGTATGGCTCAAATTGATCAGCGCTCAACGAATCAACACAAGAATCCTGACCCAATTGTCTTACACTAAAATGTTGGCCCCAAATTGGACTGTCTGAAAGTGGGGATACTCCAAATGGCCATGGTCATGGGAAAATGATATTATTTACAGTATGTTCTTTCGGGTGGTACCCTATTTTCAGATATTTTCAGAAAAAAACAAATGATTTAAATTTAACACTGAACATGACCAGTTCTGTGGGTCAGTAGGCATCACAACTTTGAGCCGCAGACAAATACATTACAGTACGGGACATGTGAGACATGTCCAGTCCATGGAGTCATATTGAGTCCACGGAGGCACACATGGAGTTCTTCACTTGCTCAGAACTCGCCCTTGGCATCCTGGGAACCAACCCAAAGCCAAGCTTTGTTTGGACCGAAGACATTGAAGACAGCTTTGAACAACGCGAGTTTATAGAAGGCATGTGTAAGGTGCATTCCAGCACTCGCATACAGTATACACTTGTGACATACTGCAGCTTTGTGACATGCAAACATTGGCTGGGAACGCATAGCGTGGCATAGAAGTAAGCCCCTGGCAGCAGGCCAACGGGGCTGGCACCAAAAGTTCCAGCAGTTTGTGAATTTCCCGTTGTCAAAAGGGTTCCTGGCAAGCTCTGATGTGCCCATTGCGAATCAATGAGGGATGCTTCAAGTGGAAAAACTTAACAGAGACTGGACTGTGATGCTGCTGTCAAGTCCTGGTGCGATCATACACAAAAGCATCGCGGTCGAAGATCTCGTTGTACCTGGCCAGGCCAGTCTGTGGATTCGAGTGAAGTGAATCAAAAATGTTTCACGGTCTCGACGTCTTTGCATTTCCTGATTTGTCATCCTTCAAGCCGAAATTCGGAAGGTGCAAAAACTGTTCTTTCTGCACGAGTCCGATGCAAACAAGCAGTATGCCACACACTGTAATATCTCCAAAAAGCAGGTGCCTAGACTCCAAAGATCTCGGAACTCCAAAATCATGGAAATGAAAGGAAAAAAAAACTGGAAAATCACAGGAATTGTGTTTTAAGAAAGGATGACAGAAAACAAGGTCAACATGCAGGAGCTACTCGTCATCATCCAGTTCCTCCACAGGAATGTTGTCACCAATGGTGGTGTTGTTGGCCTAGCAGGACCCGAAATGAACACACTTAGAAGGCAACAATATGATTGAACCAATAAAATGGTATATATATATATATACATGTATATATATATGTATATATATGTATATACATGTGTATATATATATATACATGTGTATATATATATATACATATATATGTATTTACATGTATATATATATATGTGTATATATATATGTATCTATATGTATATATATATGCGTGTGTGTGTGTACGATATTTGATATGATATGTCATGCATGATGCATGATGATGTATTATGTATGGTGTATGATATGTGATATATGATGTATGATAATATAGGTGTGTATATATAAGTGTCAGTACATATAAATATTAATATTATATCTAATGTATGATGATGTATTATGTATGTTGTATGATGTTGTATGATCGAAGGAAGTTTAGAAGTCAAACTTCCGACAATATGGACAGATGAAAAGCAGAGCAGGGCAGAGGCAGAGAGAAGAGGAAGATTAGAAGAGAGAAGATCAGAAGAGAAAGAGTAAGAGGACAGAAGATACAGATGCGCGAAAAGGTAGGAAAGTCGCGAAACGCTGTGTTTTTCCAATGATTTGTGGCTCCGGAGGGTCGAAAAGTAGGCTCGCTAAAGCGGCGGGTGCGGACCCAGCTGGCCACAGGAGCGATGAAAAATTGCACGCCGTTGTGGCGCGAAGCGCATTTCCAAGTCAAAATGTACAAAACACCTCAGGTCCGGACCACTTTTGGAAGTTGCGATGTCAAAAAAGTGCACGCCGTTGTGGCGCGAAGCACATTTCCAAGTCAAAATGTATAAAACACACCAGGTTCGGACCACTTTTGGAAGTTGCGACGTCGAAAAAGTGCACGCCGTTGTGGCGCGAAGCACATTTCCAAGTCAAAAGTGTTAAAAACTGGCGGTCTCAGACCACTTTTGGAGGTTCAGATGTCGAAAAGTGTCGAAAAAGTGCACGTCGTTGTGGCGCGAAGCACATTTCGAAGTCAAAAGTGTAAAAAACTCAGGGTTTTGAGCCTTTTTTGACGTGCAGATGTCGAAAAAGTAGACACTGATTAACTTAACTAACTTGACTAACTTAAGTAACTTCACTAACACAACTACCCTAACTTCGACGACAACAGCAACAGCAACAGCAACAACAACAACAACAACGACAACACCAACCACAACAACTACAACTACAACAACAATAGATCGATAGATGGATAGATAGATAGATAGATAGATAGGTAGATAGACAGATAGATAGATAGAGATATAGATAGATAGATAGATAGATAGATAGATACATCGATAGATGCATAGATCGATACATGGAGAGATAGATAGATACATAGAGAGATAGATAGATAGACGGAGAGATAGATAGAGAGAGAGAGATAGATAGATAGGTCAATAGATAGATAGATCGATCGAAAGATAGATAGACAGATAGATAGACACATAGACAGGTCGATAGATAGATAGACACATAGATAGATACATAGATAGACGGACAGACAGATCGATAGATAAATAGATAGATCGATAGACGGACAGATAGATAAAGAGTTAGAGGGACAGCTAGAGACATAGATGGCGAGACAGACAGATAGATACATGGACACATAGACAGATAGTTGACGGACAGATAGATAAAGAGTTAGAGGGACAGCTAGAGACATAGATGGCGAGACAGACAGATAGATACATGGACACATAGACAGATAGTTGACGGACAGATAGATAAAGAGTTAGAGGGACAGCTAGAGACATAGATGGCGAGACAGACAGATAGATACATGGACACATAGACAGATAGTTGACGGACAGATAGATAAATAGTTAGAGGGACAGCTAGAGACATAGATGGCGAGACAGACAGATAGATACATGGACACATAGACAGATAGTTAGACACCAAGACAAATAGAGAAATAGATGGGTAGAGACATAGACAGATAGATAGACAGATAGACAGCTAGACAGACAGACAGATAGAGAGAGAGAGAGATATAGATAGATAGATAGATAGATAGATAGATAGTCAGACAGGTAGACAGCTAGACAGATAGACAGATGAAAGAGAGAGAGAGATATAGATAGATAGATAGATAGATAGATAGATAGTCAGACAGGTAGACAGCTAGACAGATAGACAGATGAAAGAGAGAGAGAGATATAGATAGATAGATAGATAGATAGGTAGATAGATAGATAGATAGTCAGACAGGTAGACAGCTAGACAGATAGACAGATGAAAGAGAGAGAGAGAGAGAGATATAGATATAGATATAGATATAGATATAGATAGATAGATAGATAGATAGACAGATAGATAGATACATAGATAGGTAGATAGATAGATAGATAAATAGATAGATAGATAGATAGGTAGATAGGTAGATAGGTAGATAGGTAGATAGGTAATTAGATGAAAGAGATCAAGAGAGAGATAGAAAGATCGATAGATAGATAGATACATAGAAGAAAGGCTGGTAGGTAAGTAGATAGTCAGAGAAAGAGAGAGAGAAAGAGAGGAGACCTCAAGCACCTTTCAATCCATCAGTGGCTTCGCTCTGCCATCCCTGATTCACAACAACCAAGCTCTCCTATAGGTTTCCTATTTTTGAAACTTCCGCCACCGCCTTGTGCGGTACTACTGGTAGATATATGATGTATGATAATATGGGTGTGTATATATATAAGTGTCAGTACATATAAGTATCAGTACATATAAGTATCAGTACATATATTGTACGTGTAATATGATATATGATCTATACGTATGAGTATGATATAGTAATATAGTGCGAATCGAAGGGGGGAGACCTCCATCTCCTCTCAAGCTTTGCTTCATTCCTTTCTTCCTTCTTGGATGCGTGAACAAAACCGTTCTTGCCCACCGGGATGTTCATAAACCCAGAAAAGCAATTGCTGCCAAATCAATTCCTCCCGGTGCTGCTTTCTTTTTTTACAAGGGTTTGAAAACGGCAAAACTCTGTAATACAAAGGTGTTTTTGCTGGTCACGGAGCTGACAGCACCCCAAATACCAGCATTTACACCGGGAGCTGCTTCAAACCGATTAGCTTCAACCAGCCAGGATTTGCACCGACTAGCTTCTGTGCATCGAGCTTTTACTAGTGAGCTTTTATACCAACAAGTTTTTCCGCCAACTATATGACTTTTACAGCAACCACCTTTTGCACCGACAATCTTCCTCGATCAACTTTTCACAAATCAGCTTTCACACCACTAGCCTTTGCACCAACTAGCTTTTGCACTAAGCAGCTTTTGCACCGACCAGCTTTCACACCAACCAGCTTACACCATGAGCGAATTACCCCCCAAGGCCCCAGAACCTGTATCTGGGCTCCCAAAGTGGGCCGGCGGAACATGTTGAAGGATGTGAAACACTTTGAGGAAAACGAATCTTAAGGCAGGGACGACGTAATGCTCATTCTTCTTCCACTCTTGGGCCGTCTCGTTCCTTTCCGAGCAAGTACAAGAATTCGAAGTCTACCAACATGATGCGACTCTTTGCAAGTTGCCCAGAACGCGCCTTGAGATCAACCCGACGTGGATCTTCAAAATAGGCCTTGGCAAACCCATGATTTCCAGCTCGATGCGCTGGTGAGAGGATGAGACGTCAACAAAAGCAGCTATTGAGGGTCTTACCCAGCCATGGCCAGCAGAGCAATGGAATATCCCAGATGAAGCCTCGGCACGTAGTAAGAGAAGCCATAGACAGAGAAAACTCATCATGATGTCCCATCAAACCTTCTAGATATGAAAAGGAGTAAACATCAATACTAACATTTGTAAAATCCAAGGGGACCAATCTTTGACCTGTACCCTTAATCACAATCACAGCATCTCACCTTTGAAATTTTGAATCTGGTTCCGCAATCTGATAAAGTCAGCACAACGCATTCATCACGGCTCTGGGGAATCGACGCAACAAAAATCGCACTAAGAAAAAAGCCCTGGCAAGCAATCAGCATTTGGTGGGTGTTGTCCTGAAACCATCCAGAAACCATCCTCCATATTCCTCCGCGATGTTCCATCAAGCTGTGGCATCTCCATCTTTCGATCAAACCAATTGTGCACCTTCTCGGCAATCAAGACTGCCAGATAAAGATCCACAATTATGCCAAGCCTTTGTGGATGGCAGGTGCCACGAACCGTTCCGCACGTAAGAGGCACAGCAAAAGACCAAAAAACAATCAGCGATCATTTGCTACGTCTTCGATCACTTTTAGTTGGTCCCTGGTATGTACATGTATAGTTCCCTTGTTCAGATCTCTGATGAAAGCATTTGTGGCATGGACTTCCATTCCGCCTTGGAAAAAGACTGGGCTTCAAACATTGCGATTAACACCAAACCTGAAGCTCATCCATGTTTCGTTGGTCCTCACATTGGTCCATGGCCCAACACGCATTTCCAAGGTCTTGACCCCCCACCGTCACCACAAACTCACGGTGGTTTGAAAGGCCTTGGGAATTCGCTGGATGCATGGCTAGTTTTGTGACGCAAGTGTTGCCCTGCACTTGCACATCATTCTGTTCTGAGCTGCTGGCCAATCACATTCTTTAGCCACTTGCCTTGCGATATCAGTAAGGAAAACAAACAATAATGAAACGATATCTATGGTGTGTATATATATATATACGTATCTATATGATGTATGTGATATATATGTGTGCGTACGTATATCTAACTTGCATATAATATATCACATTTTACATATATTATATTAATATATTATATTAATATATTATGATATATATATATATATTGTATTTTGGACATTAGACATTGTATATCATTGTATATTTGATATTAGATAATTTATGATAATTTGGCAATTTATATGATGTCCATATATGTCCATAAGTATCAATAATATCAGGTTCACAAAGGAGCAAGGCAAAAACCATCAGTCCCTTGCCATGAGGCATCGATTGCAACCAAGGGCACAATAGTGGTCGTAGCGCCGGATTGCGCGCGGATATTGCCATGACCTCACGGTTCCGACAAGTTCAAGGTGCATCGCTACTGAAAACCCAGAACTCCTTTCCTTCCACTCTCGGCTGAGGGCAATGCTTATATGCGCGCCGTGGCATCCCCTGACCAATAGTGACAAAATGCAACGATTTGATGCGATTTCTGACTTCCAATTCTGCGTGAAGGTTGGTCTGGAGCCTCCTCAATGTCCATGGCACCAACTTTGGTGTTGCGGGTCTTTTTGACCTGCCCGGGATCCATGAAGGCGCAGTACCTGACAGGTCAACGTAGCAATACTGTGACCATGATGCCTTCGCCCAGCTATGTTGAACCAAGGCACCCCATGCAACCCATCACAACGACATAAAGCACTGCAAAGCTCGCAGATAGATACACCTGAAGCCAGAAAAGAAAAGCATGTGAAAAAGATGAGAAACCGTTCCATGACATGCAGCTATAATAAAGTATATAGCCTGGTCCAAGAAGGTGAATCTGGACAGCATGGGGATCTGAACCAGGAGCATACAGACTCCCCCGATCACCTCGAGCTGCATGAATCTGCCTTTGAAGATTGAGAGTGACTACTACAGGATGCAGAAGCTCCGGTGACTGTAGCACTCATCACATTCTGAGGTCCGGGCAGTTGACACAGCGAGTGCCTCCAGCCATCATGTCATTGCATCATCAAGTATCAATCACCAGACACGTCTGCTGCTGAGTAGATCCCCTGGGGATCAGGCCACTGGCAACACTGGCTTGAGGTCTACCCCACAAAAGATGTAGTCCTCGCTCCGACCCCTGAGCGCCCAAGGTCACTCAATGGGAATGGACGGGAAAACACAGGGGTTCAGAAAATTCTGCACAACGTTGCACTAGACTTTCTGGAGGGCCAGGCTTGTCTTCTGCGCCACTTTTTTCATCGTCAGACTCCTTCAATGCTCTTTTGCATCAAGCAGTATCTGGTTTTACGCTCCAAGTGTCGCGAAACTGACTGGGTTATAACATGTTATAAATGGCCAGCAAGTGCAACACTTGAGACACCCAGTGGACTGCTGACAGGTGAAACTTCGCGGGTTGTCTTGGAAGTTTGGAATTCCTGGAATTGGCAGCTTTCGACGCTGTGGATGGTCACTCTCACCTGCATATCTTCCTTGTCTTCTTCGCGGGTTGGTGGCTTGCTGGTCAAGAGAGTCCTCAGAGTTCATCTTGAATACTGAAACAAAAACATCATCTCGCAAAACAGATTGAGTTCTTGCGGCCACGGTGCGGAGGTGGGAGGGGGAGGTGTGCATTCGGTCCATGGAG